CGAATCCAACCCAAAAATAGTATACTAACCTTCAGTCTCGATACCACGTGAGCGAATAATGGATTGGTCCTCTCAAGGCACTAACCCCACTATGAGTGATAAGAAAAATTCAAATCCTCATGGAGTATGAAACGTATCTATCCACTCTACGAAACCCGGTCAACGGCCACCCATGGTCATCCAAACATCCACAAGAGATACAATACCTAACCAATTCCTCCAATCCCAAGTAAAAATCTAAAATTCCCAAATTTAACATGTATTATTCCAATAGAACAATTTAAAAAAATATGCAAGAGATCATTAAAATTATCATTTTATTGTTCACTACCAAGCACTAGAGTTTTAAAATCAAGAACAAAGAAAAAATCAAGAGAAAAATCTATTTCTCTTGATAACTAGGGTTTTGTGACAAGAAAAAGAGATTTCATAGCTATCTAACATAGCTTTGTTTAAAATATGGTAACATTTGCAAGTATATCAAGAATTAATGATTTCATAGCATATATATATAGGATCTTGAAGCAAAACTTACATAGATATAACCCTAGCCTCAATGTACAAGAGTGGGAAGAAACCCTTACCTTTCTTCTTCCTTGGTATTCTTGAAAAACTAGAAGATTTGATCCTCTTAAATGTGCAAATCCCTCTTGATTTTGTGTTTTTCCCCTTATTTCTTCCTCTCTAAGACTCTCTAGGGTTATAAACGTTGAAATGAGCTAATGAAAGTGTCCTTAAATATTTATAGTGGAAGAAATGATCTCCTATACGCGATTTTGAAACTCAGATTTCGTAACTCAAGTTCAAACGTCATTTTAGCGTTCAAACGTCATTTGCTCCAAATATTTTTATTTTTCCATCAGAGACAAAGTACTGGGATGCATTGGCATTCGAATGGACTTCCAGGTTCAAGCGTAAGGCGTTCGAACGGACTTTCATGTTCAAACGTACTTTCACGTTTGAACGGACTTCATGTTTTTGATGAAACTTCCAATGAAGTTTTGGCCTATTTAGAGGTCAATTTGAAAAAAATTCAGCTTAAATGGACATCAGGGTAAAACTTTATGGTCCACATACTAAACAGTGTCCAAAATCCTTTCTACCCAAATTTTATCTAAAATGTGTTTTAACTCCAAAATACTTTCTAACTTCCTATAAATACCCTATTACCTTGCCTAACATTTTTATTTCTATTCTTACAATCCACATAGTTTATGCATACATCATCACATATATTAGCATTTCAAAAATAATTACGTTGCTATATAAAGATATGAATGTGAGGATTTACAGTACTAACCACTAACCTAGCCACTGTAGGTGATAAATTATGTCTTACCAAAATAAAAATAAAACTTTATGTATTAAAAAAAACGTTGGATCGCCCAAACAGTGCAATGGTCCATGTGAAAACCCGAGCCATGAGCACAAGACAAGAGTTACCCACAGCCCGACTCAAAAGAAATCGGCTCTATCTCCCAAGATTGTTGAGCTAGCTTACTCGTTTATCCTTTTCAAATTGAAATTCAAAGTTACAGTTAGGTAGTGTTTGATAAGATTGAAAGCCGTTAAATTTTAAGTATTGAATGTTGAATTTTTTAATTTGCATACTGTTTAGAATCAATTGAAATTTAAGTATTGAATTAAATCAACTTGTTTGACAAATATAAGGAGTTGAAGTGTAAAAATAATTATTATTCTAATTTTATTTTTTTTGTTAACCATTTCTCTGTAATTATCTTATTCATACCATCACCATCATAATGGTGGTGATGGTGGTGACAGCGGTAACACAATGACAGTGATGGTGTTAGTGATAGTAGTGGAGGTGGTGGCGACACAATGGTAGTAGTGGTGGTGGCACAATGGAGTTGGTGGAGGCGACAATAGTGGTGGTGGCATAATGGTAATGATGGTGGCAGTGACACAATGACGATTGTGGCAGCAATGGTGGTGGCGATGGCACAGTGGTGATGGTGATAGTATTGGCGGTGATAGTGATGACACAATGGTGGTGGAGATGGAAGTGGTGATGGCGGTGACATAATGGTAGTGATGGTGGTAGCGACACAATGACGGTCGTGGCATAATGACAGTGGTGACAGTGACACAATGGTGGTGGTGACGGCAACACAATTGTGGTGGCGGCGGCGATGATGGTAGCGGTGGCACAATGATGGTGGTGGTAGTGTTGATAGTGATGGCGATGACAATGATGGTGATGGTAGCGGCATAATGGTAGCGGTGGCACAATGATAATGGCGGCACAACGGTGGCTGTAACGCCCCAAAACCCACCTTGAACGACATTACAATTTATAAACCATTCACATCATGAGAGCAACTAAATAGTTTTATTATTAAAGAAATTTCATTCATCAAATATAACACTTACAATATTATCCCAAAAGAATAGGCCAACCATGACCATTATATCCCAAAAGAATTAAACATAAACTCGCAGCGGAATAACAATAAAAGATTAGTCTTTACATAATCTCAAAAGAAATTTCCTAATCTAGCACCTAGGAGAGTATAACCTTAGACATCCACCTCGGGATCCACGAGTCCATCTAGTGGAGCTTCCCAATGTGTCGGCTCCTCAACTCCGAGCTCCTCTTCTAGACCACAATCTGAAAAATATAGTTTGTAAGGGGTAAGCACTAAGCTCTGTAGTAACATTCATCCCAAACTCGAACAAAGTTTAGAAAACATGTAAAACAAGTCGGTCTTCTTTCGCAAATATCATATATTAATTTTTGAAATAAAACAGGGACATTTAAACATATCTTAAGTTTAAGCAACATTAGTAAGTTAATACATAAGTGAAACCAATATACAACTAATAATCCATTATACCATAAACCGTTTCTCCCAAATTTTTGCAGAATTCCATACTTCCCAAAATTCTTGTAGAAACTATTTCTAGTACAATGAACAATAACCTACCATTATATTCGTATCTCTGGTCTGAAGTAAGATCTCGCATGAATACCATCGAAAATATCCTGGCCCACGTACAATCCACATAAATCTTCGCAAGGATATCCAACCTTTAGGAAGGGCGTATGCCAACACCATGACAGTGACGTTTCCAACCCAAGAGTAGTATACTAACCCTTTTTCTACGATACCCCGTGAGCGATAATGGTTTAGTTCTCGCAAAGCACTAACCCCACTATGAGTGGTAGAAAAATTTCAAACCCGCACGGAGTAAGAAGGCGTTTACACACTCCACGATACCCAGTCAATAGTAGCCTATGCTTATCCAACAACCACATAAGAGATACAATACCAACAATTTCCTCAAATAACAAACAATTCCATAAATTTCCAATTTCACATGTAGTATTTCAATAGAACAATTGAAGAAAATGCAAGAGATCATCATTAATATCATTTTGATACTCAACACGAAACGCCAAAGTTTTCAAAACTAAATTTAAGTGAATGTAGAGGGAGAAACTCATATTTCCCAAAAACTAGGGTTTTAAATTAAGAAAAAGAGATTTTATAGGCGTTCAACCCTAACTTTGTTTAAAATATAATAATAATTGTAAGAAGACCAAGGAATGATGATTTTATAACATATATATAAGATTTAGAGCCAAAAAATACATATATACAAACTCTAGTCTTAATGAACAAGAATGGAAGAAAACCCTTATCTTTCTCCTTGGCTTTGATGTAAAGGCCAAGAAGATTTGATCTTGAATCACCCTTAAAACTCTTGTTTTTCTTTCTCTCTTCCTCTCTAAGTGTTTCTATTAGGGTTCTACGAGGTTTGGGGTGAGAGAGGGGTGAAAGAATGAGAGCAAATGGAGTGAAGATAGGGTTTTAAAATATAAAAATCTAGATTTTTTAATGATCTACCGGTAGTTCGGATCCACTGACAACTTACTACCTTTTGAGCTACCGGTAGTTCGGATCCACTGGTAACTTACTACCTGTTGAGCTACCAATAGTTTCTGTCTAGATTTGCCTATTTCCTCCATTTTTCATTTCAAACCCATTTCAAACTCTTTCAAAACCAACACAAACTTATACAACATACATTTGTACATCAAACATAGTTGGTATAAGTTCTATTGCAAACGGTTTCATATTTTTACGAGTCAAAACTAAGTTTGAATTAAATATTTACCCGATTCTATACTATTAACATTTTTATCTCTACTCTTACAATCTACTTAGTTCATGCATATTCCATTACGTATATTATCATTTCAAAAATATAATTTCGTTTCTATATTTGATAATACGAATGTGAGAGTTTACAGTGGCAACAACGGTGATAGTGACGGAAGCAACATAGTCGTGGTGGTAGTGGATATTGAAAAGTTAAGCGTGTAAGATGCATTTGGAGTATATTTTTCCACTATGAGAAATTAATAAAATTATTACTAACTAACATTTTTAACATTTAAGGATAAGTAGGTGACTTTCTATTTAAAATTTTAGCTTATTTTTAAGAAAATTTTAAAATATTAAATCGTATGAATTTTAGGTTATCAAACGAGTTTAATTCATTAAATACTTAAAATATTCAGTTTTAAGTGGTAGTATCAATAACCCCTTAATCTTATGAGATTTCAATCATATTAGATCTCAGGCGTAATTAAATTAAACAAAGAGAAGAGGAAAAAGATTGAGAAGACTTACCCCAGTAGAGCAAGCATTGCCAGTAATTTAATCGTGCTCCACTTGGAAATGCAGATTGCTTCTGTGCAATTGCTTCCAATGGAGAAGGATTCCCAAATGCCAACTTACTGTGCCGCTTTACCAAATTGAGGGCTATGTCTGTAATGTTGAAAGGAGGAAAAAAGGGTTAGCTGGTAAGAAATAAGAAAAGATAATGGGTTATTTAATTACACTTTGTCCACTCATTTTTGTTTCTTCCTTGCTTTCTTTCTGGCATATATAGTAAATAATAATCAAATCCATGCTTCCGATATCGGTTGAGTTTTATTAATTCTTCCTAAAGGAAAGTAGTAACTTTCATTAAGTAACAATCATATCTCTTTTGCCTCTAGCAGCAGCTACATGGAGAGGTAGGTTCTTATATCTGTTCTGCAGATAAAGTAGGCTGGTGTTCTTTTCCACTAGCAACTTGGCCGCCTCAGTGTTGCCAGACGATGCTGCTATATGAAGAGGTGTTGAGCCATAGTCGTTAACCATCGTAAGATCATTTTCTGACATCTTACCCACCAGATTCTTTACAAAATGGTTTCTCGTTAGTGATCTAACTGCCACGGCCAGTGCCGTTTCTGAAGCTCCGGTGATGTCTTCCAGTCACCATTGATTGCATCTTTGTGGAGAGGCAGGTATGGGCTTAGATCTTTCCCTGCCCCTGCTAGCATATTATGCACATTCATCACAACTCCCAAAAAAAATATAAGGCATATTATACTTTGACCTCACCAACTATGTGTCCTATTTCACATTGCCCGCTCAACTCTCACAGTTCTTTCATTGCACAGCAACTATAGTTGTATTGACTTCACATTGTCCCTTCAACTATTATATTTTTTATAGTGCACCTTCAACTATAATAGTAAGGTTTACATTACCCAAATTCTAGACATTAAAGCACACATTTTACTTCATATTTAGACAATTGTTGTCCAAAATATGTTGGACGATCAGTTTTGGGATGATGTAAAACCAGTTCAAACAATTCAAAGGGTAATATGAGAAATAAGACGGTAGAGGAGGCAAAATGAGATTGGAATGAGAGGAAGATTTGAATCTTTGACTTCAAGAAGACAAAGTTTTTATAAAATAAAAAATACTATTGAACCAAAGATCTATGGTGAAATAATGAACCTTGAACATGTGGTTTAGGATCAAAGAACCAAGGGCCAAATCACAAAGAGAGACAGTGACTTATCTATGATAAGATATGATTCTCTTTCTCTCTGTTTTCTTTTCTGGACATCACTTTCTATTAAGTTACCAATAATGAGTACTCATTCGTTAGGCATCAGAAGTTGGTGAGAACAAAAAGAAATACTCTCCGGCTAAAACAATAAGCCATTTGGTTATATCTAACTGAATGTTGTTTCATTCACATGATGCTCTTCAGGAAGAGGATTGAGTTTGAAGTCATGGCTCAAGGTCTGTATTTTTCTATTCCAAAGAATATTTTATGTCTTGTGAAAGAAGAGAATAGAAAGTAAATATCAATTGGATATTTTTCCATGTACACGAGGAGATATATTTATAATACAAGAGAATAGTAAACTATGATGTGGGATAAACATTAAACATATACACATTAACATCGTCCCTCAAACTCAAGGTGATTGAAAATGTCAACTGGAGTTTGTAAACTAAATCACAAGTTCTTGATCTTTTAGATTTCTCAAAAGAATTTATTGTGGATTGTGATGCATCTGGGTTTGGTGTCGGAGCAATGTTAATTCAAGAACGACCAATTGCTTTCTATAGTCATGCGCTACAGAGGAAGCATTTATTCCTGTCCACATATGAGAAGGAAATTTTCGCCTTGGTATTTGCTATACAAAAATGGCATCCATTCTTGGGTCGACAATTTACCGTGCGAACCGATCAAAGGAGCCTTAAGATCTCATGGTCTCAAACAATCTCGACAGAATCTTAACAAAGGTGGTTGTACAAACTACTGGGATTTGACTTCATCACTGAGTAGTAGAAAGGAAACGAAAATGTTGTGGTTGATGCATTGTTTAGACGAAAAGAAAATGGAGAGTTGGCAGCACTTTCTCATCCGAGTCCTGCTTAGAATGAGATAACCGAGGTGGAAGTTACATCAAATTCTAATTTACAAGGCCTGGTTAAGTTAATTAAGGAGGAAGAAGTTGTGGGTCTTTGGAGAAATCAGGATAGAGTAGTTTTCTTTGAGAAAGAATTTATCTTGCAGATGATTCTCCCTTAATTAAAGAAATCATTGGTCGATTCCACAACAATTTCCATGAAGGTTTCCAAAAGACTCTACATAGAATCAAAATCCAACTTTTATTGGTAAGGTATGAGGCAACAAATCTAACGAATTCATTAAGGAGTGTGAACGTGCCAATGTACAACTTTCTTCAACTAGTCTAATTTTAAAAAATGTACAGAATGAAGCGCAAATTAAAGATCATGTCATGGTAAAAGATGGTGAGACATAATCCTATGAACTAATTTTAAAAAATTTCAAAAAATCATGACAGTAAAGATCATCTAGTCCGAATTTCCGAGAACCCTATTCAAGGTAACAAATTTATTGAAAATTCCACTAATGGTTATTTACGACTTTGGTGTAGAGAATGTTGTAAGTGAAATAGGTTGGGAAATATGAATGAATTTTTCAATCTAATAAAGCTAATAAAATAGAAATTTAAGAAGCATGTGAAGTTTAAGTGAAAACAAAATTATTGCACAAGTGCCAACAAGAAAATGAAAAAAATTAAGATAACATAAGCCCTATTCTGCAAGGAGATGACTTTGAAGATTCTTGCTATTTAAGAGGCAGTATTCAAGTCAATGTAGTTTCTAATAATTCTATGAAGCCTATAAAACATTCAATAGTTTAAGGGGGTAAAAATGTAATTCACACTTCAAGTAATTCCTTATTAAGTACTAACTACTAACCTAACCAATATAGGTGATAAATTATGTCTTACCAAAATAAATATAAAACTTTATGTATTAAAAAAAAGTTGGATCGCCCGACCAGTGCATTGGTCCGTGCAAAAACCCGTGCCATAGGCACAAGACAGGAGTTGCCCACAACCCGACTCAAAAGAAATCAGCTCTATCTCCCAAGATTGTCGAGCTAGCTGACTCGCTTATCTTTTTCAAATTGAAATTCAAAGTTACAGTTAGGTAGTATTTGAAAAGATTAAAAGTCATTGAATTTTAAGTACTGAATATTGAATTTTTTAATTTGCAGACTATTTGGTATCAATTGAAATTTAAGTATTGAATAGAATAAAATTGCTTGACAAACACAAGGAGTCAAAGTGTAAAAAATATTATTATTCTAATTTTGTCTTTTTTTTAATCATTTTTCCGTAACTACCTTATTCATACCATCACTATCATAATGGTGGTGATGGTGGCAGCGACAGTAACACAATGACGGTGGTGGTGTTAGTGATAGTAGTGGTGGTGGTGGCAGCGGCGACATAATGGTAGTAGTGGTAGTGGCACAATGGTGGTGGTGGAGGCGACGAAAGTGGTGGTGGCATAATGATAATGGTATTGATGGCGATACAATGACGGTGGAAGTGGAAGTGGTGGTGGCGGTGGCATAATGGTAATGATTGTGCCAGTGACACAATGACGATGGTGGCAACAATGGTGATGGTGGTGGTGGTGGTACAGTAGTGGTGGTGGTGGTAGTGTTGGTGTTGATGGCAATGACACAATGGTAGTGATGGTGGCGGCGACGCAATGATGGCGGAGATGGAAGTGGTGGTAGCGATGGCATAATGGTAGTGATGGTGGCAATGACACAATAGCGGTGGTGGCATAATGACAGTGGTGACAGCAACATAATGGTGGTGGTAGCCGCCACACAATTGTGGTGGCGGCGATAGTGGTAGTGGTGGTACAATGGTGGTGGTGGTAGTATTAGCAATGATGGTGATGGCAACGGCACAATGGTAGCGGTGGTACAATGGTAGCGATGGCACCATGGTGGCGGCGGTGGTGGTAGTGACGGAAGCAACAAAATCGTGGCGGCGATGGTGGTGGTGGTGGATATTGAAAAGTTAAGACTGTAAGATGCATTGGGGGAATATTTTTCCACTATAAGAAATTGATAAAATTTTTATTAACTAACATTTTCAGCATTTAAGGATAAGTAGGTGACTTTCTACTTAAAATTTTGGCCTATTTTTAAGAAATTCTTAAAGTATTAAGTGATATGAATTTTAGGTTATCAAACGAGTTTAATTCATTAAATACTTAAAATATTCAATTTTAAGTTTTAAGTGATATTATCAAACAACTCCTAATATTTTAATCATATGAGATCTCAAGCGTAATTAAATTAAACAAAGAGAAGAGGAAAAAGATTGAGAAGACTTACCCCAGTAGAGCAAGCATTGCCAGTAATTTAATCGTGCTCCACTTCGAAATGCAGATTGCTTCTGTGCAATTGCTTCCAAAGGAGAAGGATTCCCAAATGCCAACTTACTGTGCCGCTTTACCAAATTGAGGGCTATGTCTGTAATATTGAAAGGAGGAAAAAAGAGTTAGCTGGTAAGAAATAAGAAATGATAATGGGTTATTTAATTACACTTTGTCGACTCATTTTTATTTCTTCCTTGCTTTCTTCCTGGCATATTTAGTAAATAATAATTAAATCCATGCTTCCGATATCGGTTGAGTTTTATTAATTCTTCCTAACGGAAAGTAGTACTCACCGTAAAGTCCACCATCTATCAGTTTTTGGACCAGTCTAACACCTGATTCCCCTTCAAATGGCTTGGCATCATCGTCTTCTCTGGTAACTTTCATTAAGTAAACAACCATATCTCTTTTGCCTCTAGCAGCAGCTACATGGAGAGGTAGGTTCTTATATTTGTTCTGCAGATAAAGTAGGTAGGTGTTCTTTTCCACTAGCAACTTGGCCGCCTCAGTGTTGCCAGACGATGCTGCTATATGAAGGGCTGTTGAGCCATAGTCGTTAACCATCGCAAAATCATTTTCTGACATCTTATCCACCAGTTTCTTTACAAAATGGTTTCTCGTTGGTGATCTAACTGCCACTGCCAGTGCCGTTTCTGAAGCTCCGGTGATAGTTGCCTTAATTGCATCAGGATCGGGCGCTCGTTGAAAATAAGATTCAGCTGTCTTCCAGTCACCATTGATTGCAGCTTTGTGCAGAGGCAGGTATGGGCTTAGATCTTTCCCTGCTCCTGCAACTCCCAAAAAAAGAAATATAAAGCAAGTTATACCTCGCCAACTATGTGTCCTATTTCACATTATCCCCTCAACTCTCACATTTCTTTCATTGCACAACAACTATAGTTATATTGACTTCACGTTGTCCCTTCAACTATAATATTTCTCATAGTGCACCGTCAACTATAATAGTAAGTTTTACATTTCACAAATTCTAGACATTAAAGCACATATTTTACTTCACATTTAGACTGTTGTTGTCCAAAATATGTTGGATGTTTAGTTTTGGGATGATGTAAAACTAGTTTAGGCAATTTAGAGGGCAATGTGAGAAATAAGATGGTGGAGGGGGCAAAATGAGATCAGGGAAATATTTGAGTGGGTCAAAGTAAAAAAAAACAGAAAACAAAAAACAGAAAAACAAATTAGCATTCAATAAACTCATCTTTGATTTCCAAACACTTGAAATCTTGAACCTTTATTTATTTATTTTTTTTGGGGAAGGAAGATGTGAATCTTTGATCTCAAGAAGACAAAGTCTTTATAAAATAAGAAATACCATTGAACCAAAGATCAATTAGTAAAATCATGAACCTTGAACATGTGGTTTAGGATCAAAGAACCAAGGGCCAAAGCACAAAGAGAGACAGTGACTTATCTATGATAAGATATGATTCTCTTTCTCTTTTGTTTTCTGGACATCACTTTCTATTAAGTTACCAATAATGAGTACTCATTCGTTAGGCATCAGAAGTTGGTGAGAACAAAAAGAAATACTCTCCGGCTAAAACAATAAGCCATTTGGTTATATCTAACTGAATGTTGTTTCATTCACATGAAGCTCTTCAGGAAGAGGATTGAGTTTGAAGTAATGGCTCAAGGTCTGTATTTTTCTATTCCAAAGAAAATTTGATGTCTTGAGAAAGAAGAGAATAGAATAGAAAGTGAATATCAATTGTATATTGCATTGGTGTATTTTTTCATATATATGAGGAGATATATTTATAATACAAGATAATTGCAAAGAATCATAGTTTAACTGATGTGGGATAAACATTAAACATATACACACTAACATCGTCCCTCAAACTCAAGGTGATTGAAGGTGTCCACTAGAGTTTGAAAACCAAATCACAAGTTCTTGATCTTTTAGATTTCTCAAAAGAATTTATTGTGAATTGTGATGCATCTGGGTTTGGTATCGGAGCAATGTTAATTCAAGAACGACCTATTGCTTTCTATAGTCATGCGCTACAGAGGAAGCATTTATTCCTGTCGACATATGAGAAGGAAATATTGGCCTTGGTATTAGCTATACAAAAATGGCATCCATTCTTGGGTCGACAATTTACTGTGCGAACCGATCAAAGGAGCCTTAAGCTCTCATTGTCTCAAAAAATCTCGACAGAATCTTAACAAAGGTGGTTGTACAAACTACTGGGATTTGACTTCATCACTGAGTAGTAGAAGGGAAACGAAAATGTTGTGGTTGATGCATTGTTTAGACGAAAAGAAAATGGAGAGTTGGCAGCACTTTCTCATCCGAGTCCTAATTAGAATGAGATAACCGAGGTGGAAGTTACATCAAATTCTAATTTACAAGGCCTGGTTAAGTTAATTAAGGAGGAAGAAGTTGTGGGTCTTTGGAGATATCAGGATAGAGTAGTTTTCTTTAAGAAAGAATTTATCTTGCAGATGATTCTCCCTTAAGTAAAGAAATCATTGGTCGATTCCACAACAATTTCCAAGAAGGCTTCCAAAAGACTCTACGTAGAATCAAATCCAACTTTTATTGGTAAGGTATGAGGCAACAAATCTACGAATTCATTAAGGAGTGTGAACGTGTCAATGTGCAACTTTCTTCAACTAGTCTAATTTTAAAAATTGTATGGAATGAAGCGCAAATCAAAGATCATGTCATGGTAAAAGATGGTGAGACATAACCCTATGAACTAATTTTAAAAAATTTCAACAAATCATGAAAGTAAAGATCATCTAGTCCGAATTTCCGAGAACCCTATTCAAGGTAACAAATTTATTGAAAATTCCACTAATGATTATTTACGACTTTGGTGTAGAGAAAGTTTTAAGTGAAATAGGTTGGGAAATATGAATGAATTTTTCAATCTAATAAAGCTAATACAATAGAAATTTAAGAAGCATGTGAAGTTTAAGTGAAAACAAAATTATTGCACAAGTGCCAACAAGAAAATGAAAAACAAATTAAGATAACATACGATCACTTGCAAATTTATCATAAGCCCTATTCCGCAAGGAGATGACTTTGAAGATTCTTGCTATTTAAGAGGCAGTATTCAAGTCCATGTAGTTTCTAATAATTCCATGAAGCCTATCTATCATAAAGTCATTTGTAAGTTAAGAACTTGGAGATATAAAATCAAGTTTAAGGGGTTGTTGAAAAATAAACTTATTTTGTGAGTTATATTTTACTATTAAGTGGTTTTAATGTGTGTGTTAGTGGAAGAAAACGTGTGCTAATGGTCTATAAATATACCGTGTAGTGGATGAGTATTTTGTGCTACTGATGAGATATTGTAGCAAGTAGTGGGATTATGGTATTTTAAGTAGATTAGTGGTCATATATATATATATATATATATATAGTGTAGTGTTGAAAGTGTTAATGTAAGGTTAGGAGTTATGCTTAGAACTTATGGATATAATTTGAGTATATAATGATTGTGGTCATTGAATTGTTGGCGAATCTCAACATTGAATATACTCCATTATCAATGCAACGGTTACAATGCATTAAGGACATGTTTGAATTGTTTTTTGTTTTTTTTTTTTTTTCTTGGGATTGGATTGCATTTATGAAGCCTTTTCAAGTCCTAACAAATCCAACCCTAAGGATTTGTGTATGATAGTCAAACAAAAATCCTATCAAATTTCATGTTTGGTAAGTGACATAAATACATGTGAGGTCTATGAATTCATATCGAATCATATCACTTAATTTACTAAAATATCTATTATTAGGTGAATACAAGAAAACAAATACTACATAAACTTAAAAATTAGACTTAATAATTACAACTATTGATTTTACTGTAGGTCACAGCATTTATTGAGACTCAATTTTTATTCAATTGTTGTGATTATCAAGTCTAATTTTTAAAACTAATTTTAAGTTCATGTATTATTACTCATAGAGGAATGAATTTTTGAGTAAAACCTTTTTATCTACAAATCAAATCTCTCACTTTTGAAACTCACCCCCCATGGGTTTCATCAAACCCCCATACATGGATTTTAATTCACCATTCATTGCGAGCCTGAAGCGGGTCGATATTCATTTACCTTATGAATCATGTGCCTCAAATCTTGGACCAAACATGAGTTAGAAAATATGCATTGGACTATTTTACAAAAAAAAAAAAAAACCCACCCTCTAATTCTCATCCAAACTCACATACCAAACAGGCGTTTAAGTCTTTCAATTATGTCCTTAAAGTATGTCTCAATAACATTAGTGATATAAAATAGGTATCAAAGTATTTGAGTAATGAAAGTTGAGTTGAGTAAATAGTTTAAATTAAGTATGTGAGTTGTAATCAACCGGAGTATTAAAAACATTTTATTCTGAGTGTCGTTCTCCTCCTCTATTTCCTTCCATTATTTTTTTAATCACCAAGTATGTGAGTAACTATAAGTAATATTGTAGCAGATCTTAAAAGGAATATGGGATATACGAGAAAGCCTTAACCAGACTTGTAGAGTGACAAGGCCATGCGGATCGGTTTTTTGGGGAAGGGAAGTGAGACAATTGTTATGCCGGTCATTTTTTTTTCCTTTTTTGGTTTGGCCAATCATAAAGGGGTAAATAACAAATACAATGGTGATTCAACGTCATACCATTGTTAACACATGTCATCACCACACTATTGCAGTAATCACAACATGAAACAACTATCACATTGCATTAAATATGGTTTATTGGACCTATTTGTTGTTTTGTACTTAGTTGATTGATAATACTATGTGTTTTGTACTTAGTTGATTGATAGTAACGTCTAACTATCTCCTAAGAATAGAAAAAATTATTACTCAGCTGAATGAACGGTGATGTTAGACCTCGTAAGGATGGTGTTTGACATACATATATCTCGGAGAGTTCCCTTACCGATTTCAAACATTTCTTCTAGTGCTGTCCACAAGTCTTTGGCAGTTTCGAACCTCAGGATCAACATATAGATAACTTCACTGACCATCGCTAGGATCCATCTTTTTAACAGCCCGTCAGATCTTTGCCAGTCCTCGTAATCCGGATTCTTTACCTCCTTCGTGCCATTGTCAGAACTATCATCAGCGATTGTAATCCTCTGTGGAGGTGGTGTTATTTTGCCATTGATGAAACCATCCAAACCATGAGACTCAATGAGTCTAAACATCCTTGATTTCCACGAAACGTAGTTAGTTTGGGAGAGCTTGATGCTGACCAAGTCTCCCACATTAACCTCTGATGGGTATGGATACTCTAAGGAAGCCGAATCCATCGATGGTGATTGCAGGTTTGAAAGTCACCTTCAAGGTCAGTGTCTAGCTCTAATACCAAGATCAGAATGTTCAATGGGAGTTCTGGGTCTCTGTCACAACTACGGCGCATTTTATAAGTCCTCTGTGGAATCTTCATGCAGCTCTGAAGTACAACAAGCAAGTAAACTACCTAACAGTAGAAATCACAGCTGCCCCAAATTTGGGTCTATTTATTGGTGTGGAGGTACATAAAGAAGGAATCTGTGTATTGAGGAATCAATGCTGGAAGGTTCTGTGTTTTTTTTTTCTCCCTAGACGCCAAGTATAGCATTTACATCTTTCAGAATGCCTTTGGCAAGGCTGACACTAGGCATAAGCCATTAAAGCCGCCGCTTAGGTCCTCAAATAAGTCAGTAAGGTCTTTGAGAATAAGCTAACAGTTTACAGGTAAAGAAGTAGACATCTAAAATTTAAGTCTACTCGTTATTTATAGTGATCTCTTATGGGGTTTTCATGGTCGGCTTAATAAGGTGGCACACCTATTTTTTTTTTTAGTTAAATCTTCCTTAATTTGTGTTGAAATCTTTCTAGACTTCTTTTGTTATTAATCGATTATTTAGGCCACATGTTTTTAATGTGCACCTATGATTTAAATAATTTCCTTATTTGTTGTCTAGCATCGCTTCTGATTATTCGGGATAGCCTAACTATCTTTCTACTTGGTCTCGGTCCTTAGCGATGCCTAGGTTTCATCCTATCAACAACCTCGAGTTTCTAGGGATAACTTAGCTATCTCTTCTTGTTTGGATAGGGCTCATTCCTTAGAGGATATATAGCCAAATTCTTACTTGAATTCAAGTCTCGCAGTATTTCTTTCTAAGCATACTTCATCAGATTTTGCCCAGCATACACTTTCTTCCTCGGGTATGCTTTCCACCGAGCATACCACTTTCAATTGATTTACTTTCAGGTCGGCCTTCTACTAAATATGTTTGGCTAAAGCCAAAGTCTGCTCGCCCAATCTACAGTCTTGTTCAATTGATCCTTTATCGTTAGGCCTCTAATTGTTAGGTCGGGACTTTACATGATTGATCACAATATAATCACTCTAAATAACTCTTTTCAGTATGTGCCAACTATCACGTGTCCAAGTCTACTAGTCAAATCATGATAAAAATTTTGATCCACATCAAAGTCAATAATGGTTTGGATAATTGCAAGTTTCAAGTTATTTTTAATTGCGTTAAATAAACGGGTTTTGGGCAGTTGGATTACCACTAATTGATTTAAACTCATTAAAATGCCTATTTAAGCTAATATGATCTATCTCCACAACCACCGTCTTGACAATAGCCACCACCGTATGAACTTAGCTATACTAATATAGTGGTCAACCACGGAGTTTTAATGTGGACTCCAAAATTTAAACCTTTAACCTCAGGACGAGGAGTTCGACCAATACTCATTGGCCAAGCCCACTTGGTGGTCCAGCATATGATGTGTGCTACCCCTTGTGCTTAACCTTAAAGGAACGGACACACAAAGTGATGGCGTTGTGGCACAAAGTTTCGTCTTTATTTGCTTTTCTCTTTTTTACCATATTGTTCAACTGACTTTGTTTATCAGATAGGATGGTTGTGGTGTTTTCATTTCTCTTTATTGTTAGATGGAATGCTTGTCGGCACTAATATGCCGGGAAATGGAATATGTTTTTGTGCACAAAACTACACTGCCCAAAGCCATTCTAAACTTTTCGTACCCCGGTGGAAATGACTTATTAAAGCTCCGAAGATTGTGAACATATCTTAGACCAATATAGTTTTTAAATTTGTCAAACTAGTACTATTTGAATTTTAAACAACTTCTTCTGCATAAACACTTTGTTTTAACCTTAAGAGAGGTAGCTCAAGTGATTAAAGAGATGAATTGTAAACTCCGAAGTTCTAAGTTTAAATTTTGAAAATTCATTTGAAACAGACAATGAAAAATTTATGTTTCATGAATATCTTAATTCCGACGTGAATTGTTAAGAATCTCAGTTCTATAAATCAAGTCGAAAAGATATCTTAGCTTATCCCTGTCTTGCTTCACTATTGCTCTGTACCACTTTGAAGTTCGCATTCCATTGTGTGACAAAAGTCCCCATAGAAATCCGCTGCCAGAGCTCCATTAATTAATGGTCATGACACTTTAGTTATTTTGGATAGCTCAATTGGTAACATAAATAAATTGTAAACTCAAATGTCGTGTTATGTATTTGCTGTTCCATATTGCTCACTAATACTGCTGTGCACTACAACGTATTCTGGAGGGAGAGTCGCACAAAGCCCATCAAACGACAACAAACCACAACATAGTAAATACTAAATGAGCATCTAACATAGTACAAGCTAACAATCATGTACTCAACAATTGACACAACACAAGTTGTAAATTATATATATTTAACAGTCCAACAATCACGCACTCAAACAATTGACACAACACAAATCGTAAAGTACACATTTTTAACAGTCCGCTGAAAATAAATATATTCTCCAAAAGAAAACTTCAATATCATTCGCTCATGAATTATGACTGATACAGACTTGATAAACATATTTGTATAAAGTCTTATCATTATTTGGTCAACTTAATATAGCTTACGGTCACCTTGCTTACCAAAAATGCCGGGTCCACACGTGGATTTGAGCATATCGAAAAGGAGGGGAAATTGTAAGGACGCAAACAAGGACACAGGTAGACATGCTGATGTAGCCACAGGAATGAGAATCCATGCTTTTTTATGTCCAAAAACAAGAAAAGTTGTTGCTCCGAATGCTACCACCATAAATATTATGGAGAGGAATAGGGTCACAAGACCGACAAGTACTCTAATCGGTAGCACTTTGAGAAAATCATCTGCTTCATAGCGTGAAGTAAGGATGGACAAGAACACTAAGACAGAAGAACTTGATAAGACAAGAGCAATTGCGTCCGCTATTGCAAAAATTATGAAGGCTTTTTCTTTGGAGAAAACTGGAAAACCATTGTCACTGTTATTACTTCCTTCATTGTTTCCACCTGGTACGGTAATCGTAGCTGCAAATACTATGGTAACAATTAATGCTGCTACAATAGTGCATGAGGTGGAGGTGTCTTTCATCCATTTCCCACCTTCTTTAATCAGCTTCTCATGCGTTTCGCTAAATAGCTCCATTGGTGTCTTCCCCTGGTCATTTTTCCGTTCCTTGTCTTGAGGTAGTGAACATTTTTCTACTTCCTATATATTGTAGTGGGATGTTGGAATTAGAAAACAAGCATGAAATGCATCTACTAGTTCTTGACGATTATCCACGTGGGGCTTACTGTGTAATTTCAAATAATTTATTTATATTAATTAACAAAATTTTATTCAGAGGCATGTAAAGAGTGGGGTAGTTTTTATTACGATAAACTGGTCGGAGATAAAGTTGACAGACAAAGAGTTATAAACTAGCAATCCTAGATCATTAAAAGCAAGGGACACATTCTATGTGGAGATATTGGTAACTAAACTGAGTCATATACATTTTTTTCATTGCATATCCAACTATAATCACTGAATTTTTTTTTGAACAAGTATAATCACTGATTTCATTGTCCTAATTGTAGACATTGAAAACGTGTATTTTACAAGCATTTTTTATCAAACATATATCGGCCATTTAGTTCTTGTACAAAATTAAAACTAATATAGATAGTAGAGGGGCCTGTATGAGATATTCTATAATTAAGAGTACAAAGTGAGATCACAGTCATAGTTAAAAGGGGGTCATAGCATGGTTTACTTAAAAAAAGGACTTAATTTTAGTGGTTAGTAGAATTCCTTTGTGTGGAAAATAATGAGTAAACTGTAAAAGGGTAGATGGCAAGGACCTGATTTTTGGTTTCTTTTGCATCTATACAACCGTGTTAGTTTTCATAAAAAAAAACAAAACTGATCAGTAATTAAATAGCAAAATTCTTGTGTTTCGAAGTTTTTAAAGATGTTTTAATTAATATTTCAAAAAAAAAATCATCAATTTTTTTGAACTTTCCGTCAAGTTTTTAAAATAGTTACAAAATATATCCATTTCCATTACAGAAAAGAAATAGATGGCCAAACTAATTATAAGAGAGTGGTAAATATTTTTAAGCTAATGAAATTAGAGTTAGAATTGTAAAAGGTGTTTCATTACGTACCTTAAACCATTGTATTTCACGTTGCATCTGTAGAGCTGCACCAACTGCACTAGTTTTGATATTGAATTCTGAACTTCTTTCCAAATATCCAGCCAAATGTAGACCATTGTTTCTCGACATATCTATCACTCGTAGAAACTGGTGGCCAAGGTCCTCAAATTGATATATGAGATTGAAAACTCTCTCACGACGATTCGCAATTGCAATATGTAGAAATAATTGCTTTTGCTTGTTTAGAAAGTAAGCCGCACTAGGAAATGAATACAAAATCTCTTCCACGACTTCATGAGCCCCATTAGCCGCTGCAATATGTAGTGGCTTTTTAAGTATTGAAGAAGCTAGCACATGGTCCAACTTTATAGTTTCCTCGCAAAGGTATTTCACAAGCAGAATAGCATGATGATGCATCATTTTTTGGTATTGGATGTGCTTAATCTCGATCACTGCAATGAAATAAAACAACAAAATTTTACTTCTACTTCCACGTGAAGTGGCAACTAATTAACCCATTGGTCATTACATACCTAATGTTTCTGCAATTTTCCACAAGATTTCTTCAAACTTTTTCGTCACTGTGTATAAAAACAAACCAACCGGAATCAGATAAGAATGTTGATAATCTCATTGAATCCTAAACAGTGCATTAGGGAGACCCAATTCAAAGAACAACTGGGAGTTGGTGTTGGATTATTAGATATATGATGTGATCTGTAAAGATCACACATTATTTGCATAGGATCAGATTAGATAAGAATTTTTTTTTTCGAAATGTAAACTTGTATTAAGACAAAAAAGGTACAAAGGTACAAAAGAAAGCTTGCACAGTCAAGCAATGATCAGTACACCACAACGAAAGCAAAGCCAACAAAAGAAGGCATTAAGATAGAAGTAGAGCAAATGACTTTACTTCCTCCCTAATCCCATCCTTGGGCAGTGGCAAAACACAAAAACTCTCAAACAAGACAAACAGTGGAGAGGTGTCAATGATGCACTAAGAGCAGATTCTAAGGGTTGGCCTTGAACTTAAGTAGAGAAAATCTTTCTCTAATAGTTGTTTGAATCCTGAAAAACAAACTTTGTTGGGATGTAACCAAATTGTTAAAGATCCTATTGTTTCTATCCCTCCATAAGTTGTAAACAGTGACAGAGAGGTAGAGCTTGAGGAGAACAACCTTCAAAGATTTTCCTTTCCGATGAACAATTGCCCAGGCAATGAAGTCATTCCATTGGAAAGCTTGAGGTTACATTGCTGCATCAACTGAGTCCAAATACCAAAAGCATAGGAGCACTCAAAGAACAAATGATGATGAGATTCTAGGAGTTGATGACACAAAGAGCAAGTGATGTCCACCTGTGGTGCATACAATGAAATCCTATCCTTTGTAACTAATCTATTTCTGATAGCCAACCAAAGAATGAGACTCATTCTAGGTATGAGGTGTTCATACCAAACCAGTTTGTACCAAGGTACTTTAGAGTTTTGGAACCTAATGATGTTCCAAGCAAATCTGTCATTCGACTTGGAGGTCCATTTGACAGAGCTTTCCTCTGTATAAGAATTAATTTTACACTATACATGTTTATTTGATGTATTTTTTCACCCTACAAATAGGGATGAGTTTGATGTAAACTGTCACCAAATAATAATAAATCGATGTAGCTCATTGGATATTTAGACCGTAGACATAGACACAATGTGTTGAATTACGTATATTCTTTGTGTTCTATTTTCTCTTCAATTTTCTATCCCTAATGTTTTCTAGTATGAAGTTCAACATGGTATCAAACTTAGAGGTCCTGAGAAGCCACACGTGAGTGAGAGTTAGATAATAAATACTAATATTACATTTCTTTCTAAAAATTTAATGGTGATTTAACATAGTATCAAAGTTTAGAGTTTTTAAGTTCAAATCTTACTAGATTTTCTCCCTTACTACAAGAAAAAAAAATCACGTGCATGAACCACTCAAGAAGGGCCGCATGTGACGGGAGAATTGATCCTGCATACAAAAAGAAGTTGCAAACTAGAGAAATAGATTGACAGATATAGAAAAGTTCATTTTTTTTAATGGAGATTCACGTGCTGTCTCAAGCATATGAGAGGTCTTTGGCTTATGCTCATATATTACCGTCACCTGATATAGTTTCATTCCTCGAAAAAACGAAGAAAAAGAGAAAGAAACAAAATTAAAGTAAATGAAAAAAAATGACAGAAAAGAGAGATAGGACAGAGGAGACTAATGAAAGGAATTATGTAAAGAACGCAGTGGAATTTAAAAAAATTTGATTCCCCATTCCAAAATCTATTCATCTTTAATATAAATCGAAAAACCTTAGATCTATAGAGAAGATTAAGGGTTACATCTTGAAGCGTGCTTTTAACAATTTTCAAGTATTCTCAAAAATTTTAAATCTTCAAATCTGAATTTGATATTTACCCAAAGTCTCGCAATTGTTTTGGCCTCTATCGGTATCCACATGAATTGATAAACTAGAATGATCTACCTCAACCTTTGATAAACTAGTAGAGAGAGACAATGAGGGGTGGTTCTTCTTATCTTAGCAAGAGAGTTGTTATATCTTATACCTACCTTTTCATAAAGGTATTTATAGAGTTTTAAAGACTCTAATCCTATTTTGGGTTAAATTGCAATTATCTTATAATTACATATAACCTCTTTATTAACCATTAATTGTAATAAAGTCTCTAATTAACTTTTAATTAGGTTTTTCCGCCAATTAACTCTTAATTGGTTTTCTCTCCTTTATCCTTTAGTTTCCAATCAATTCTATTGTGTGTGACCCTATAGGTTCAAGCATGCCCGATTGTAGGCATTTGATACTAACTACAAGTAGCATCTCAAATTAGAACTCTCTCTAATTTAGTTTGAATTAGAACTTTTATAATTCTCCCTTTATGAAGGATAATTAATATATTTATATTGATTTCATTCTTCGAGCTTCTACTAATCATGAGTAACACTTAGCAACATATCATGATCAACCTCTGGATAGCACGAAGTAGGTAATGAATTCATTCAGTCTATAGTTGCCATGCTATTCAATCCTTCTATAACATTGTAAAACCTGAGTAAATTTGAACTTTTTACGAAAATGGGTAAAACGGTAATTTGTCACTATAGTGTGGGTTACAAACTTGAATTTTTTTAGAGTTTACGAGACAAACGAGTCTCGGGTCACCCAAAAACGGATTTTTGAATAAAATTTTGAAAGTTGAAAAATAATTTGAAGAATGTTCATAGAAAAATATTTTAAACTTGAACTGGACCGAAATTTAATTGTTTCGGGACGAAAACAAACCCATGAAAGGAGGTTGTGTGGTGCATTGTGGGCCAAGTACTTTAGGAGTATAAATAGGGGAGACAAATCAGATTTCTCTCATATTCATCAGCTGGGTTTTAATGTTAAAGAGAAGAGAGGGAAAAAAGAGAAAATCCAATTTCTCTCCACGATGTATGCCTCATCGTCGTTCAAATTAACTCGAACCAAATATTAAAGTCGTTCCTCTCGGCGAGGGCTACGCGGCTATACCAAAAAGCGCGGGTATTACCGAAACCAAAGAAATGGGATTTGGGGAAATAAAGATTCTAGATTGAATCGGGTTCTTGAAATTTTTCAATGTCGTTTTATGCTTCAAGAGGTAAAGTTTTCTCCCTAATTAGGTTTATTTCTAAGCTAAGGTGTTTATATGAGATGAGTAGGTTAATAGAATTATATATCACTTGCCTATTGTTGTAAAATTGATGGAATTGAATATTGAAAATGGGTAAATTTAATTTTGGTGTGAATCAGTGATTAGAAATTGCTAAGTATGTAATTTCTTAGCAAAATGTGATTTATGGGCATGTAATGTGTTTACATTATGCCTTGATGAATTTAATGTGTTAATTGCATAATTATGTGATGACATGCTTGAAAATCGTGTTGAATGAAATATTGATACATGCTCATGATATATTGATATGATGAGAATATATGAAAATTATATGCTTGCGATATAAATTGTCATGGGGTATGTTGATTTATGTGAAAAGTATTCATCTGACATTCATTACATATTGAACATGTTACTGGTATTGCAATGGTTCATTACATTACATTTGCACAGAGACATCGCATTCGTGGGCATTGACATGGGTGTGGGTGTGGGTGTGTATGCATGTTATGGGATCAAACACCATTCTTGGTGGATGATATGTGGGCTCAGGAAGGTTGGACCTAGGTCTGACTGAGTTGCACAGTTGCCTGAAAAACTTGTGTCGGGTATAGCAAGAAGGGTTATACTCTCCCTCGGGTGCAAAACCCGATTACAAGTTTATACACTTCCGATGGTGAAAGTCCAAAAAAGTGTATTGGTATGCGGAGTTGGCGGTGTGACACTAAAAGTCCGCTACCCAACAAAGACACATGATTTTGTTTTATAAAATAGTCATTCGATGTGTAACGTCTAACAAAGACACATGATTTTTGTTTTAAAAAGATCATTGGACGTATATCATCGATGACGGATTTATACACATTGACATTGCATTGTGTTGAATGAGTCAGAGAGAGCTCGGGTTAAAGTTCATGAGTGAGTCTCATCTCATTTCATGACATGACATGAAATTCTTGTCATTGAATGTATATTCTTGATGAGAATGTTTTGAATGATTGATTGTTGCATGTGAACATTTCATATGCTTCATGGGAAAACATTTCAGGTGCAGGATTCACACTGACGGACGACTCCCAATTCGAACCTCAAGGGTGAAGAATACCGACTTGTGACTTTCATGACTCATTTTGTATAACTTCTGTGAAAATTCTATTTTTGGCATGTAAACATATGAAATTGCTTATAATAGAACTTGTCGTATCATGTTTCATGTGAAAAACTTCATTAAACATGTATTGAATGGTTGTGGGATGGATTGGAAGTAATTGAAAATAAAAAACAGGTGAAATAGGCAATCCTAGGCAAAACCTATCGGTAGGTTTGAGCAAACCTACTGATAGATGTGGTCCAGTAGGCAAAACCTACCGATAGAACGTCACTTTTTTGCGGTAGAACTTTTCTAGTAGGCAAAACTTACTGGTAGAACGTTAAAACCTACTCCAAAAATCTGAAATTTTAAGAATGCTATACTATGCTTTCAGGTCATGTGTCCTTTTCTTCAAATGATGTAAATGGACAATAATGAAATATAAATGGTAGTATGTTGGACCTCGGATAGGTAATGAGTAAATGTATACATGATATGCATTTAGGAATGATCTCGGTAAAAGGGATACTATTGACGTGATGTCGGGTTGTGCGACGATCACGGGTACTTCCGCAGGTTAATGGTAATCAACGGTTGATAAAGAAACCCCGATTTTAGGGGCGTCACACCAATTGAATTACTAGGGTATGAAATTACTGTCAAACCTCTAATTCAATCTTATGTGTTCGATCTTAGGACTATGACTCTTAATGATCAATTAGAAACTCTTTTCTAATTTTTATTCTGCTTTGGCCAAAGATTCCTTGAGTCATATCCTAGAAGATCACATAGGACATTCTCCCTTT